TAGATGGTTGAGCTCACGGCGGAAAACGATGTCCTCAGAGGGTCGGTTAAATCCCTTACCGAGGGAAATTAAAAGTTAAAAACATTAGAGAAATGTTCATCAATCTCTAGGTGCACAGCATGTGGGACAACCTGGTCATCTCGGGCATTCCGGAGCAGGCGGACGAAGACCGTAAAAAACGCCATCCAGAAGCAGCTGAAGCTATCAGCCTACACCCTGAGGAACATTGGCTTCCACCGGGTTCACCGCCTGGGAGGACGGCAACTGGACAGCCAGAGGCCCAGGCCCAACCCAAGAAGTAACTGGTTAAAAGCCGTGGCAGAGAGCTGAAAGGATCGAACTTGAGTGTAAATAACCAGTTTTCTCGGGAGATCCTGAACCGAGTCCTGTTCCCAATAAGGAAGAAATTTATTAGAGATGGACCATGCGCTGTCATAAAAATTTTTAACCACCTAAATAATCTACAAGCAAACATTGTCTTGCTACAGGAGACTCATTTATCCAAGACAGCAGATAAACTCACCTCAGCACAGTTTCCTCACTCGTACTCAGCCTGCTATAACTCCAAACAAATAGGTGTCACCATCATGATAAATATACAAATACACTTCACCTATAATACTAGTACCATAGATCCAGTCGATTTATAAGACTTACCATTTCTATTCAAAATACTCATTTATGCATCGCTAATATCTATAGCTCAAATGTTGACGATCCCTCTTTTTTGATGCTTTCTTCACCTCACTCTCTGCTCACTCAGACACAACACTTATAATTGGAGGGGACTTCACCCTGGTAGGTGATCCAGCAGTTGACAGGCTCAGTACGGCAGACGGTCACCGTATTTTGAAATGAACATACAATATTAAACAACACATGAGCGATTTTGGTCTTTGCGATGCTTAGCATTCTCAACACACCACTCTCAGAAAGTATACCTTCTTTTCACAAGTCCACCATTCATATTCTCACCTAGACTATTTTTTGGAGGAGATGCTCACAAGTCACTGAGCTAGAGTCCAAGTCAAGTCTCAAGTCACTGAGCTAGCCCTTTCACGCATAGTGGTCACTACAGTGGACAGCTATTCAAAGCCGTTTACATAGATGGGCAGAGGTTCTGATAGTGTAGTTGCATATCAGCCACTACAGTGGAACTAGTGTGTCATGCCGTACACTGCCACCCTCTGGTAAGCTATTGTAAGTGCAACTTAAATTTGTCAAAAGCAAGATGGCCAACGGACGTTCAGAAACACTGAGCAGCTCAGGTAAATCTTGCCATTCCTCCAATAATATGAGACCCCTGCAGGTTAATAAAATTTGGTCACATCTAGTAGCAACTAAGGAGTAATTAGTATTGATTTTAAGTTGGGAGGAAATTATGATTAATAATCTGTCCACTAAATTGGACATTATGCATCACTGGCTATATTTCAGCTACAATTAAGTAAGTAAGTAAGTTTGCTTTTGTTGCAAATACTTCATGTGCACTAACTTTTTTGGATGTAAATTAATGGATTTATATAACTTTTGCAGTTTTTATAACATTTAGTGTGTTGCAGCAAGTAATAGAAAGGCATTCAGGATAGTGGAGCAAATTCCATCAGAATCAAGTATGGATAATACTAGTGTTGATCATAGCAGTGATGATAAATGGCTGCCAGAAATAGGGGGCTCCCCTAATGCTAGCAGCAGATAGTGATAGTGGAGCTGAGGATGCTCAGAAAGAGAGAGGTTGAGGAGTTAGAAGTGAGGTTCAATGTTTTTGCATTGCATTAAACAGTATTATAATATGTTAAAATATATGACCATATTAGTTTAACAGCATTAAAAATTTATATTTCCACATACTATATCATTTCATTCATTTGTTAAATAAATATTTCTTCAGTTAAAACCTTACGTGCACGCTGTCCACCTTAGTGGACATGTAAAAAACTTAATTCTAAAAATTTAATTCTAATTTTATTTTTCATGCCTAAAGAGCAATCAAAACACATAGGAAAAAAATCCTGACACAGGCTGTCATAATTCATGCATGAAAGGGCTAGAGTCAAGTCTCAAGTCACTCCTGGTTATAATGAATGTTGTATCAACTGCTGCGTTCACGCCAGGCTGCTTATAAAACTGCAGAGCTATAAGGGATTCTGTAACTGTAACCTGTTTTTCACAGGGCACCGTAGGTCGTAGCTAAAGCAAGAAGCCTGTCAGCCAGTCAGCTCTCTAGTCTTAGTCTCACTTGCCTGCTCCATCTAGTCAGCCTTGTCAGCCCCGATATGCTCTGCCTTATGGGGAGCCGTTTTCAGTTGTTGAGTAGTTAACACATTACGACCTCTCAATTGCTGATTTACCCCTGAACACAGCGTGACGGTCGCAGAGCTCGCCGACCGACAAATCGGGTTTAAAATCGTGTAGTGTGAACTAGGCTTTACTGTCTGTGAACTAATTCCTGAAACCTGCCTGTAGCGTCCAGTCTACGGAATGACACTCCAGTAAAGTT